ATACTTTACTATTTCACTACACGTATGTATTACGAAATAATTACTAAGTTTTTTACATACCCTACAGTGATCATTTTATGTAGATTATAATTTATGTTACTTATTACAGTGACAAATCGATTTAACTCACAATAATTCATTAATTTTATTTTATTAATATTAACAGTAAGAAAAAAACTGAAATCATAACACAATATTAATATAACATAAAGACATATAACAGAGTAGTTGCGGGAAAATTATCCCCACTCCTTCTATTTTTTCTGACTTCTACGGCGTAAATCCCAGTGCGGCATACTTGCCGGAGTTACTTTAATTATATATAATTATATATAAAATATATCCATTTATATAACATTTTTGCCCGGGTATTATTAAGATTATTAACAAAAATTTAAATAATATTTAATCTTTACGGTTTGTTGTTCAATTATTCAAATTTACAATACTTTATCTTTCAATTTCTCAAAATAAATTAAATCTACTTCAGTTGTCATCGCATCCAAGTTTTTAATTAGACTTTCAAATTAGTTTAAAAGTTGTATGAAATATTTCTCGTTTAAAGTTACAATATCTGTTAATTTGTAGCTATTATTTTGAAATATTAATTAAACGTAATTAATCAAACATGAACGTAAGCATTCAGATCAAAGAAAATTAATTCTGCACTCTCTCTCGACGCGTTGATAGATTATCTATAGAATTCTATGATGTCTTTCAAAATCTCCTGAATTGTATCCTAGCTGATTCAAAGTTAGTTAAAGACATATACGATAGTTGCATCGATTAATGGCGCGTGTTGGACTTGTCGTAAAGCCGGATTATGACTTTGCTTGGATAAACGTTTATATCTGACCTGGGATGTTGCGGTGCAACCATACCAGTCGCAGATATTACTTTGTAAAAGCGTATTTTGCTTAAATGTATTTCGTGAGAATTAAGACATCTGCGGAACAATTTCGCAAGATTAATTTAACAATTTTTTAAATAACATGTTTAATACTTTAGACGTATTATTTGTTGCAGTAACTTGAACCACACGAAATCATAATCGATTTCCTAAATTTTTTAAAAATAATATTCGAAATAATCAGTAAAATAATAAAATATGTTGCTTGAAATGATAAGAGAAAATGAACGTTAGCGTTATTTGGCACAATGCATGTAATAATAAAAATAGTAAATAAAATAGTATATAACAGCTAAATAATTATATAATTTTTACTAGTAAATACGAATACAAAAATACAACAATTTTTTTTTAATATGTACGTCAAAATGTATATGTAAATAAAACTTCTACTTACAATATATATAATTTTATGTGTTGCATACCGCAACACATATAAAACAATTTTGCAAATAATAGTTTTTTAAAATATTAGATGTTTATGTAAGTGAATCAATTCTTGAGAGCGTCGTAATTGAATTGATTTTTCTCTCCAAAAAATTCAAATGGTTAATAAAATATACCCAAGCACAAATTTTATTTAGATTTTTGTGGATAACATATATTAAAGTGCTCTTTCTGGACTACGTTTTAAACTTCCTCTTTGAGGAAAATTTTACTCGAAATATATTATATGTATAATATAGTATAAATATAGTACATGTAACGTATACCATAGCATATAGAGTAAAACTTTCCTCAGATAAGAAGTTTTGAAACGTAGCTCTGGAATGGAAAAAAACATCACAATTATTTTTGATTCATATGTCAATAAAACTTTTGCAATATCGTTTAGTGTTGTTTCTTCATATTCTTTTATATAGCAACAAATTATCGATTTGTCAGAGATTTGCTTTTGCAATGCTAATCCAGCATTTAATAAAATCCACATATTTTTACAGATTTTCATCGCGTCCGCAACATTTCCGTTTTAATTCGGATAGTTTTATATTATCGATGCATGTGGAAGGAAGTAAAATGTGTGAACGTTAGCGATGTACAGAAGATTTTCTGAATTCATGCCGGATTTTATACTTTTACTGTAACATGATAAATATTTGTCTATCCACGATATTGTAAGCGCGTGCATGAAGTTTAGATAATGCGAACTTGGCAAGATAATGCACCTTTTGATAGAGAAGACTCATGTACAAAATCATTTGCGCGTCAAGCATTGACGTAGAAGTGATTGCAAAATGTCAATCTACGATATTTCACTTTAAAATGAAATTCTATAAGGTAACTCCGAACAAATACGCTGCGCTGGGATTTACGCCGTAGAAATCAGAAAAAATAGGAGTGAGATAATTTTCCCGCAACTACTCTATTACATGCCTTTATATTAGTATTGTGTTATGATTTCAGCTTTTTACTATTAATACGGTTAATTAATGAAATTATTGTGAATTGAATGGATTTGTTACTGTAATAAGTAATGCCATCATAAATTATAATCTACATAAAATGATCACTGTAGGGCGCGTAAAAGACTTAGTAGTTATTTCATGATACGTGGAATAGTAAAGCATGTGGTGTAACAAAATACAAGTGTTTTGCTTTTATATTCTTTATTTAGTTTGTTGTCTTGTATATCACACCTGTTTGGCATTTTTAGCGAGCGGGATTATGCCCAAAGCAAAGTGCGTAGATCAATTCAGTACATTAAATGCAATAAACGCATTATATGAAATATGTACCTTATGTCACACTTGTAATATGTAGGAAGATTGTAATTATTATTTATTACTTCATATACATATTTACTATTCTTATTTCTTAATAAAACTTTATAAACACATTTTATAAGTTATTGTGTCATACGTTTTATTTATATGCACAAATTTTTCATAAGCCGTACATATCCCCCCCTTCCTTTATGAGTAGCCATATATTCCCTATGAAATGTATGGCAAAAATGTAAGGATTTCAAAAAATTAATTTTTTAATATGAAAAATAAATATTTTGGATTTCTAATATTTTTTTCATAGTAGATAGTACAAAGGTGCGTCATCAAAATCCGAACAAATTTCAATTTAAATTTTCCACTCTATTGTGCCTCCGCCAGAGAAAGCCTCATGCTTGTTGTCCGAGAAAGCCTAATGCTTCTAATAAATAGTCATATTCTCAAAATGGTCATGATGTTGAAACCAAGTGCGGAGTATAATCGAAGAGCCGCAATCATCGAAGGCCTTTGCGCTGGATGCTCAGAACGGAAATAATTCGGTTCTTTGGATACCTGAGATCAATCGTTTATGACATATTGTGGCAAAATATATGGCTTTAGAACAGTCCAACGAAGGTTCCAGTATGTCAGCGAGGAAAAGTCACTCGAAAGAACACATCGCAGGATCCTGCAGTCACTGAAAGGGTTCAAACACTGGATGACCCAGGGCAATTGTTGCGAAAATTAGCATCGATTGTTGGTGTAAGCGAGCCAACAATGCATCGAATTGCCGAAGAGGACCTTTGATACAAATCGTACACATTAAAGATACGACAGATCTCTCTGAGACTGCCAGGACAAGCCGAGTTGCTCATCTCGGCTCCCATTCTGGCCTCCCAACAGCCCAGATTTAAATTCCTTGGACTACTATGTATGGAGTGTAATTGAAAGGATCACAAACAAGTCTCGGCATCTCAATGTGACGTCATTAAGGACCGCTATTGAGGCAGCATTCGTCGGCATGGACAGCGCTACATTACAGCGTGCAAACGCACCGAGAATAGAGGCCGTCATTCAAATTAATGGACGATATTGAATAATTGTGCTCTACAGGGTAGAGCACAATTATCCCTCAAGTATCATGTAAAAGGATTTTTTGTAATATTTAATTTTTCATTAAAAACATTTTGTTTAAAGAACATTTTGTTTGATTTGTCCGGATTTTGATGACGCATCCTATATACTGATATAGTTCCTTTATAAACATAGTAAATAAACTATCCTATAAACCTATAAACATAGTAAATAATACTTAATAAATTAAGTTTTTGATAGATACGGCGTATATACCGGAGTTACGTTAATCGAAATTTCCTTGTGACTTCCCTCCTTCCATGTATACCTACTTGAATTCCGTGTTGAATCCGCTCGGTTTAAACTGGATTGAGTTGGGATAAAGATGTCGAAGCACGACGATATAAGTCATAGAAGTTGTAATGGACAATATAATTTGTTATCTTATTGCTTTAATAACGTGTTTTATAATTTTAGAATTTAGTATGAGACTTAAATGCATTAGTAGATGATTATCTGCAAATATAATCATCGGCAAATAACTATTAAATTTATATTAATTTCTGCAATCATAAAAAGTTACATAATACTGTTCAACGAAAAATACACAAGAACGAAAGTAATCATTTTTCAATTTTTGGGCGCTCATATTATAATTCTGTTCGCAATTAAAAAATTGCAAAATTGCAAATTCCTCAAAACGTGATAGAAACTTGATAGAACACTTTAATAAACAGAATCATATTTAGCGTTTGAAAAATGATTATCTTCGTTCTTATGTTAAGAAAAATAATTTTTTGTTAAATAATATAATTGAAGAACTTATTTCTTTATAAATCATTCTTAATTTATATTTAAGAAATAGATATTAATGTATTATGTAAAGTTACAAAAATCTGATAATCTCTAATTTTTTATCTATGAATTGGACTATTTAGAAATGTATTTGAGCCGTACAATTATAAATTTTAAATAAAAGAAATAAGAAAAAATACGATAAATGCAATAAGTTTGCTAATAAAGAGGTTAATGCAAAAATATCTTTTAATATCTATTGGTAATTACAAGTGCAATTAGACTACCTTTTAAAATATATTTTTTAAATATACACTTGCAAATACGTTAACACACATGGAACTGTGTATTTTCGCATAGAATTAAATAGATACATACTTATGCCACATTCATATGCAGCAAATTGCAAATATAATTGGCTCGAGCTCGAACGCATATTGTAAATTGGTTCAATCGCGATAATATTTATATAGATCTCAATGTGCCTCGTAAGAAATTGGTTTTTCTCCCTGTTTCAGTTATAGTGATGTGCGCTAATTCAACGACCATTCGGGAAATATTGCTAGCTGCTGAGGAGCTTGGAATGGTGGACTCAGGGGAATACGTGTTCTTCTCAATAGAGCTCTCCTCTAGGTGAATACATTCGCAATTTTAACACTAAGAGTAATATTGCATATATTTTTCCGGCGTGAATAGCATGTTATTGCTATTTATTTTGTGAAAGTTTCGCAAAATAAAAAATAATGATAAACATATACGCGATCATATAAACATAACATTTCACGAACATTTAAATGAAATAGGATGTAAAATATTTTTCAAACGTACAAGATAAAAAAATAGTTGCAAGAAAAATCTCGTGCGTATCTGAGAGAACAAAATTAATTTTTTTTTTAATCGCACTATGTACTGAAAATAGAATTATGTTTGTGTATCACAGTTTTCCCTCTTTAATCCGAGAATAGTTACCTATTGGGGTGATTTTTATATCCCAGTATACATATAGCAAGAAAATGAAATTCAACCGTAATAGATTTTTTTATTGATCAGGAAATACGCACCTATTTTTTTATTTCATTTTATTTTTTTTAAATATGAAGTAAATATATATACATAATAATCTCAAATGCTAATAATTGTAGAATAATTGATAATGTAAATATCAAGTTAATCTTTTTTTTCTTTTTAATCTGAAGATATTTTCATTTAAAATATTCTATATGTAAATATTTATTAAAATGTATATTATATTGTCTAATGAGACAATATAATTTTAGCTTATGCTATAAATCAGCTCAAAATCTGCAGCAATATGAGTCGTATGTTAAAAAACTGGAGCATAAACAGGGATACTTGCACAGCGCGTGTCTCTCTCGAACACTGAAGCCGTTTTATAATTGAAACGAATATGGAGTCATACTCGGTACATATGAGCTGATTTCTTATAGAAGGAAAATTGGCATGAAATACGTCGCATCTGTATTCAGGGAGGAAAAAATAAAAAGACCTTAAAATGGACTCGGACGATGTTTCTTCATAGTAGATTAAAGTATATATGCTCGTTCTATATAGATAAAAGATTTTTTTATCTGCAAATTAGAATATAATTTCTCTGTAAAAATTCATGTAAATATCTTCTGTCTTATTAACGTGATATCGTCGGTATATTATTCAGTCAGTATATTTCGGTAGTAATTATTTGTCTCGATTAACAATAAATAACAAGTAATTTCTATGATTACCTGGAATAATGCTAATATTAGTTCAATTATTTAATATAATATGGTTAGAGTGAAACAATTAGGTATATTTACTTTGTTCATTCTGCTTCCTTGAGAAGCTTATTTTATGTTATCAAGAGTTAAAGTTTAGAGTTTAATTCAACTTAATTTATCTCTTGCCACACATCGATATCGTCGATGCATGTGGTCGTGAAGCAATTTGCTCGATTAGATAAACTCACGTATATACTGTATATATACAATTAAGTATGTTAATGCGCTCGCATTCACAGACTATCTGGTATGCGATTCACCGATTCCTTCTTTTGCAGGATAAAATAATATCGATCTCTTCTTTCGTAGAATAAAGCTATATTAATTTTCAAAAGACATCCCTTACATGTTAGAGAGAGAAATTTGATCAATGAAAATAAGCATGTCGGACGACATTAAATTTCTTGTTTGTACGAAGTGCACATCGTACGATCGTGTTGTTTAACGAAGATTTGAAAAGCTTTGTCCTGGAAAATTGCTAATCTTGGAATTGGTCGTAAACGTAACGTAGTATGTGATCTTTGCCATCGTAAGAAACTTACGATCGCATTCTTGGATGTTATTTTATTTTTTTGATGGTCTTATTCGAACAATGGTCATGTATCTGCGAATGATCAAAATGAGAGAGACAAACCTTTTAGTGATCCCCATGATAAAGATCGAACATTAATGATCGTTTGGTTACATAAAGAAAATATCCGTCTCTGTGAAAGCAAAACTATTGTAGCGAATATCCAGTTGCATTTTCGCTTCGTTCTTTGTCTTTCTAGATCTCGTTAATAGAGGATATCATGCGATTTCGGGTCGAGTGGAACTTATCCGTCAGAAACCTTAAACCGCATCCTTCAAATCGAATCAGAATAGACATTGATACCATTGTAAACCGTATAAATCACTAAATTGTATAATCTTCACCATTATGCCAGTAATAGAGAAACAATGAAACAGTTTTCAAAAAGAAAAATATAAGCAAAAATTTTCGCATGAAGTTAGCAAAATCTTGCTTTCATACATTTTTTTCTAGTGCGAAAAATGAAAATCGGATTTAACATGAGAATTAAAACAAACACGAAATAAAAAAGCAACTTGATCATCTCATAGCTTGAGCAACGATCGATGTTGACTTCAGCAGTAATTGGAATTTTTATTCATCATCAGTTTTTCCAACTAGAATTAATCCAATAACCTTTCTACAATGCTAGTCCATTGCAGATGTTGAAAAAAAAATACCACGCGTCTTTTGAATTCACATTCATTATGCAAGAAACGTACCCGGTTTTTTCTTGGATAATTAAGCATCTCTGATGTTCCTATCTATAAAATTCCTATATATAAAAAGTCAAGAAATTTCCAGAATGCCAAGCGGAGAAAAACTTTGCGGAGTGACTTAAGATTGCTTTTGAACTATGTCGATTTTTATTCGCTCACCTTAAGCTCGGAAGAGATGTGCAAGATATAAAAAAAAATAAACAAGTGAGCCTTCGTTGGCGCAGACGCCCACGGTGACGCCGTGTTATTCCCAACGACGTCACTTTATTTAATCACGAGTCCCGTAATCGTTCCGCCACCCACACCATGATTTTTTTTCTACTTGAGAATTTTCACGCCTTGTAATTTAAGTGTTACACGCATTACATATGGTAGATGTTTGTGACTTTTATATGTTCCAATTATAACGTAACGATCGAGCATCATAAAATGAAAGTTATGATCTCTGGTAACGATATAAAGGCGAAAAGCTGCTCGGTCACAGTGTAGTTAAATGATGTTTCACATCGAAACATAAATTAATTGGGTCGCTTTAATATCAACGATTTCAGATAATATTCCAGGAAACAAAATATACATAGTTGTAAAAATCCAATATTTTTAACAATTCAGTATATAATATGAGAGAGATTATTTTTACAAATTTATTTCAATTAAATGTAGCAAGCTTAAAAGAAAAAAAAAATTTAAACTTTTACATTCTGTTTTTGATATGTGTATTTTTTTAAGTATATTTTTCATAATATAATCTTTTCTTAGCAGAATTTATATTATGAGCTACTTTTATAATATTATATTTACGCAATATATCGGCTTTAATGTGATAACATTAAATGAAATTTAATTATATAAAATAATTAAAATAATCTATGAAATAATTAAAATAATCTTTTTGAAGATTTCAATATGATACGTAATAATTTATTATTTAAAAAATGCTTAATTTGTACAGCAGTTTTTGTAACGATAAAATTTTCATAAAATTAAAGTCAAATCTTTTTATCCAATGATTCGACAAACGCGAGGATTTTTTTGTATCATAATAATATATATCTGTAAAAACCTTATTGCGGAGTATCAAGTGAATTAATGTATTCTAGCGATAATGATTCCAAGGAACCATGGAGAGTCAACAGCGACACAGATGAGAGGAACGAGAAGGCTCGAAAGGCTTATCAAGCCTTATTAACAGTAACGGCGCGCACTCCAGACAATCTAGAGTATCTGAATTTTTCGCGCGAAGTTAAATCTCTGGCTCAGAACAAATATAACTTCATTTTCGGTAACAGCTCAGTCTCAACCTTCGTAACGGCATTTTACGATGCTGTGTTGCTTTACGCTCTGGTCCTTAAAGAGAGCCTACCAGAGAAGCCGGGTGAGGTCAACCTAGACGGCGGTAATTTGACGCGGAGAATGTGGGGAAAAAGTTTCAAGGGTAAGTTTCAGTTTTTCTAATTTATTATACTTGTATTTATAACAGAAGTCATTCGCGTCAGTCAATCAAGCATGACTTATGTCGATTGTGGAGAATTATTTAAGAATTTACGAAAAGCGTCTTCTTATTCACGATGGAAAATCATGTTGTCCATTATCAGTATTTGTTGCATTAACGCCAACGGATCGCACATCGTTTGTAAATACAGTCGACAAAACTAGCACAGTTTTTTTTTAATAAAAAAGCTTCGACGATAAATGTAACAATATCGACAGTGTCGTTAAGAGGTATAGAAAAAACTTAAACTCATAGAATGAAAATCGACCAATAACATGGAAGAGGATGAAATTGATAATATCATCGTTAATTAGAAAAGCTTTGGCCAGAACAATTAAATTAACTATCCCGATGAATCACAACAATCTGTCAAAGATGTCACGGTTTTCCAATTTTAATAAGGAAATTTATACATCGTTTTTTATCTTTCTTTCTCTTTCTAATTCCTTGAAATGTTATTTGAATGTTTATAATATTTTCATTTTTGCCACGCATATAACGTGTTTCAAGTACTAAGCGCTTCCTTTAATTTTAAATTCTTCAATTAATTTGGAAGCGACCACCTTAAAAAATATTTATAGTTGCACGTAAATAAATTTATATTTATATTCAAATATTTATCAGTCTGAATTTATGTTATTGTATCTTGCAATATGAGAATATAAACAATTGCTTTTTGCTCTGACTTTATGTCTCATCTGTCAAGCAAATATTTTTGAAGTATGATTTTCTATTTCCTTACATATACATATACATATACGCTACAAAGTTCCGTCCCGATTTTCGACTCGTGAGTTTTCTAAAAGAATTTTATAGCTGACGTAACTAACGTCAAAAGGATGCAAGGTTGCCAGTTTGCTTTGTATTTTAATGCATCTTGTTCATGTCTTATGTTATATCAAAAAGAACGACTTTTCTGAAGTATTTAAGAATTTTGATAGAAATTGATCTGAAAATAATTTTGTTAGACCACCAAAATAATGTAGTATCTAGAAATCTCAATTAATCAATTAATCTGTTTCCTACATAATCAAAATTATGTAGGAAACTTTAAGGATGCGTTCTATTTAACGTTCATAATAATCCTTGCGTGCATTTCATCTAATATTTGATAAACAAGGGTGAAATATCGATTGTGAGCGTTACTTAAGTGGAACATACTCAAGATGAATTGCAAATAATTTTAACAAAGTTTCTAGCAATCAACTTGGGCGTCCTGCATAATTATTTTGCTGACCCAACAAAACAAGTTTCAGATCAATAGCTAACTAACTGTTTACTTAGCAGAATTGTTTTATCGAGCTCCTATATACATTCTCATAGAGCATTGCTATATATAGCATTCCTATATATTGGTTATGTCGAACTACAGTGAGATTTTTATCACCGTGCGAAATCAAGTTCTTCGAGAATTAACACTTCTTTTCAACTACCTGACTATAATATTCAATTTTAATTAAGTATTAAGTAATTAAGGCCCGGTTGCACCAAACGTTACTTTGATTTTAAACGAAATTTAAAACTCTCTTTGTCTTGTTTTAAAGCTGAAAAAGAAACAAAGAGAGTTTTAAATTTCGCTTAAAATTAAAGTAACATTGATGCAATCGGGCCTAAACCATTGAGTAATCGTAAATGCTTTATTTTTACATAATTATGATTAATTCTAGGAATAACTGGTGATGTAAATATCGATGAAAATGGCGATAGAATTGCGGATTATTCTCTGCTGGATATGGACCCGGAAACCTCCAGATTCGAAGTAAGACATCTCCGAAAATTAACAATTATCTATTTCTAATTATAAGATATAATTTTATCCAAAGTCCCGCAACTAAAATAATTTAATTTGAGATGTTGCGAGTTAGTGAATTTAATATTATCAAGCTAACTAATAATAAGTATAAAATCCGATAACATCTCTAACGCGTATTGTTTTACTCTGTAACACACTCATGAACTTATTTCATCCTCTTCCGTGCTTTCATCTTATTCGTGAATTAATTCTCCGCAGATTGTAGCCAATTATTACGGTGCGAATAAAACATTGGAATATATCCCTGGGAAACAAATTCACTGGGCCGGTGGTCGTTTAGAACCACCCCCGGATACACCTACGTGCGGATTCGACGGATCATTATGTCCTGATAATTGTGAGTGGGTAACGCTTTTTTAATCTTAATTTAAATATAATATGCGATATAGAATTGCAAAAATACGATAGAAATATATAATCGCATTTAATGAGAAATAAAACAATTTTTATATTTAATAAATTTTAATAACCTTTCGTGACTAAAAATATGTAATATTTATACTGGACTGTTTGAAATAAAACATAGAACTTTTTTTGCAATCGCGTTGGCATAATTCTTCTGCATAAAGCAATCTTGATACTTTCTCTCTCTCTCTCTCTCTCTCTCTCTCTCTCTCTCTCTCTCTCTCTTTCTTTCTTAGGATACATTCCTAAATATCTTCTCCAAGGAAAATTTTACTTGAGATATATAATACACGTAACATTACAATAGTATACATAACATCTTTCTCGGAGAGGACGTTTTGGAATAACGTAACTTTAAAAAATGTAGATATTTTTTTGTAATTTAAATTACATGAATATTTGACAGCTCTTCCGGGATACGCTATTCTCTCTATGGTATTGAGCTCCATCGTAGTCGTTCTCGTCGTCGGTTCAGTATTTATTTATCGGTAAGTTAAGTTTGCTTTTAAACTAAAATTTTATGTATTTTACGCGAATTTATCGATATTGATAACGATATAGATATCTTTGAGTATTACTTTTGATAAATTAAAATTTAGATATCAAAAAATAAAACGGAATCGATAAAACGAGATATTCCAATCGGAATAATATACTTTATCAAATATACTTCGCAAAGAGAAAAAAGATATCTGTAAAAAGATGTATTGTTTGTATAAAATAAAAACTCATGTATAATAATTTCAAATCCAGTTATTATCAAGAGCATGGTTTAAATTAATAGTTTAAAGTGGCCGTTTTCTTTTTCTTATTCTCTTTTTCTATTTCATTTTAATTGAAGAAGATTAACAAAATCATTTTCTCTGGAAATTGTTTCTTATTGCATTTGTGACAAAGCTTCTTATTGAATATATTAATCTAATGATATCAAAAATATTCCAATAATGAATAAAAAAGTTTTACCAACAATATCATTTATTTAATCAGCAGAATAGTTAAAGTGAAACTGATACTAAAATAGCAAAAATTAAATAATTAAAATAATTTTAAAGTGTAAAACCTTAATTCAGAGATTTGCTAATATTCGCGCTGATATGTATTAATTAACATAGATTCACTATTAAAAATTTGAAAGACATTGTCAGTGCTCATTTTTTCGTGAAGAAATGATTTCGATAATCCCTAAGTAGCACACGTTAACTGCACATGTATTTATATATTGAGAAGGTATAACTGATTGTGAGAAGATCTTCGATTTCTTTGATGTATGATATGGAAGGAGAATAAGAAGAAATGAATGAAGCGAAACACTTATCGGTGCTGAAATTTCTCAGATGCTGCGAACTAATCGATTTAATTATCTGTCTACGTTACTTGTCTAGCTAAGTATCTCTTGTCTCTTCGGTTTGGCAGTTACAAGAACATTCTCAAGAGTGTAAACGAGTTGTTTCCTTCTATTTCGCAGCGATAATCCCAAATCTCGAAATAATTTAAACAAATATATTCGCAATTTAATAGAAAACGTAAAAATTTCACGAAATATTAAAATCGGTTATTAAGTGTTGCCTCAACAATGAATTATCACACTTATTTAGTTAGCATTTATATACACGAAAAACAATAATTCAAAATATCGAATAATGAATTAAAAATTTCACAAATTTATTAATGATTTTCTGATATATTAAAAATAATATATATATATATATATATATATATACATATAAATGAAGAATGTCAATGTTACTAAACTTTTTAGAAATCTCAGTAAGTATAAGAATTTTGGAAGCTAACGTCATCATTCAATGTCAGCATAATAGATTATGTATACATAGACGATCTATAATACGTGTTAGAATTCACGCCAAAATTTGTTTCATTAATGCAAAATTATACGAAACGTCAGTATTATATTTATCATATATATAAGTATCATATATATAAGAAATAAATATAACAAAATATTCACAGTCTTTATACCTAACATTTAAAAAAAAATGGTAATTACAATATGCGAAACGCAACATAAAAATCATGAAATTTATTGCAAATTAGATTTAAAATTTTTTCATTTTACAAATTTAGATTAATAATAAATAACGCTAATTGCACAAACACTGAATTCCGCAACAAATTGCGCAAAATATATATTTGTGAATCTGTATCAATATCAACGGCTGCGTTCAACAAAGAAAATTAATCAATTAGCGCTTAGTGATTCTTTAATTAACTGATTGCTTCTTATCTTTAGTTCTTCGCAAAATCTAAGTGTAGGAAAGAATCGTATTAAAGAATCACTAAGCGTTAACTGATTAGTTTTCTTGCAGAACGCAGTCAATGTATCATTAAATTCTGCATGAGAGAAACTAATATTTTATCGTTGATTCAACGCATCTTTATATTTTCGTTTAATAAAATTTTTATTTACAAGCGATTATTTTGGAATGCTGAATTTTGAATTAAGTATAAAAGCTATTAAATCTTATAAAAATTTTTTTAAAGCAAATATTTATTGAACACATTAATTTGATGAATTTTACGTATTCTTATGTTGTATATATTCGGTCGTTTCTTCATATAATATATTTGATATTAGAATTATACATATAGTTTTAATATTAATATTAAATTAATTATAATATTGAAAGATATTATAATTATCCTAATTTAAAGTTATAATTATTCTATATTATAATTATTCTAATTTAAAGTTATAAAGTTTAATAACTTTGAGATTATATATTTTCAATTTATTACATATATTATAAGTATTATATTTTCAAAACATAATAATACCCTCACATCCTTGTCCATTCATATGAATATTTATATCTACTTATTAGAACTTCTATTTATCCGTAGTCCTATCCATCTTTGTATTTTTATCACATATTCCATCTATATGATATTTTTACACATCTCTATCTTTAGCTAATCATGATTATATTCGAAAGGAAATAGAATCTTAATTGGGACTTATTATACAATTAAAGTTTATCCTACATGGTATTTTTCCTCCATATTATGTGCGATCGCGCATGCATAGATCAGTGTGTGTAAAATTATAGAGTCTATTATTATATCATATTACTTAGTGTTAACTCTATATACATACATATAAGCTATAAAGTATTAAGCTAGATTCGCCTAGAATCGACGAATTGAATCAATCAATATCTAATGCATCCAGAATTAATTATTTATTCTAATTTATTCTAGCCTATCTATTTTAAGGCAGGATTTATGATCTATAATATGTAATATTATATGTAATAATTTATCGTAATTTGTACATGTATTCATTATGTTTTGATATAATTTTCATAAATTTCCTGCTATCTCAACGAAAGAATTCACTTTTCACTCACCGACTGATGCGCAACAGTGGAGGAATCTGCTATGTTGACTATGTCGATACTATAACACACAAATATAAAATCCAGATTAGTACAAACGACAATGCATATTTCAAATAATTATTAAACGCGCGGAATACTAAATTTATTCTTCAAATAAATATTAAAATAAAAAACAATAAAATATAATTATGTAACTAAAAAAAAACTCTTCGTTAAATATAAACTTTCATAAAAAACTTTTCTTTTAATTATATATATAATTTTTTTATATATATAATTTTTGAATGTAATTAAGAGGTAAGCATGAAATTTTATATTAAATATGTATTTAAATCAATTATACTCACTCCAGGATTGCTCTGCCAATACCTGATTCCTGCCAATGCCTGATTTCAATGCCTGGGCTTCCTTTTTCTCCCTATTTAGGTTACCTGCTTCGCAGAAGCAGAAGAACTCGACACAAATCTCCGGATTGCTGTTTTCTGAATTATATAAATAAATGATTCAATTAAAGGAGAAAAACGGTATTTTAGTGTATAAAATTATAATTGTTAGATTGATTATTGTCAACTCTGTACTCCCTCGACACTATATATTCCTGAAAACATAGATAATCATAATCGCATTTAAAAAAGTAATTATTAATAAAAGTAATTATTATCACTTGCGGATTAATTATTAAAAAATCTTTTGTTTTTAAAAAAAGATTTCTTCCAATTTTTAACATCCTACACGACATAGTGCAATAAGTAGCATTGCAATGAGTACTTTTGGCTTTATGATTGTAATTCCTTTTATATACTGAGTCCCTTTATCTCCTCTTCAAGATTGTATCTCCTCTTCAAGATTTATTGAAATGATGAATCCTTCCCTTCATGGGAAGGATTCATCATTTCAATAAAAATTAAAATATTGCACGAAAATATTGCATTCCTTATCTCAATTATTATAATAATAAAAATGAATTACGTTTTAATTCAGAGCATCATGCAAAATCTGTTTGATTTTAAATTACAGAACGTTATAGATGTGATCACAAACGTAATGTATGCGTATATCCTTTATTCGCGCATCTAAAATATTTCATATATTTCAAAGTCATTCGACACGCGTGTATGAATCGTTAAACACGTAATGTATCGGTTATTGTAATAATTATAATAAATGCATTCACTATCTTTTGGTACTTGTCACAGTGGTATCAGGTGGTGTCAGGTGGTGGTTCTGAGAGTTAATTGCGAAGCAACTATGCACTGTTATCCACTCGAATATTGGACAAGAATTGGTGGACAAGAGATAGCGCAACAACCTTGTGTTGCAACAGTATACATAAAAATAAACATCAAAACCAACCGCTAAAGCTTTATGGCAATTTGATGCCATAAAAAGTTTAACATTTTACATAACAGTTTTATTTCAAATATTCTATGTTTAATTAACTTGAATAAGCCATCGATGCTGATTAAATCTAATGTTTATTTGAAAAAGGAAATTAATGAAAAAGGAAATTAATGAAAAAGGAAATTAATTAATATTATGATGTAAAAGTATTTATATAAATATTAAATAAATAATAAATTTAAATTTAATACCTTTCTCTGTATATTACTGTTACGATACAATCGTAAACATAAAATTATAAGAAACTATAAATTTTGTATAAATAAAGTATACTATGCGCTTGGCTTAACATAGATAATATATTTCACACCGATCTATTTCCGACGATAATTATTATTATCGTCTTTCTAGCTCTTCGACTCTTCTTCGGAATTTATTGCGTACCGTTTTGCATTATAACTTTGCTTTACACACGTCGTACATTTCCCCAGGATTTTAATCAGAGATGCAATATCGCAGTTGCACAGCTTTACAACTTGCTTTAAAACACATTACGATCTCTGCTTAATATAATGCTATTATCAAACAATGTACATTTCTTCAATCATCCAACATCCAATTTACCGATATCTTTAAAGATCTTTGTCGCTAAACATCTGTTGAAAATATCTTAAATTATTGTAATAAATTAAAAAATTAAAATTAGTAGAATGAAATTATTCGTATCTCTCACTGAGAGAAATTTAATTTACGCGATATTTTTTATTAGAAAATGCTGAAATAATTTGTGAGATGCAAATGACAGTAATGCGAGCAAAAATTCGCCTCGAAAGCCAAATACTACATCTGTAATATTACACATTCGTGAAACGTAAACAAAATTAATTCTCGCAAAAAGTCAACATACTCATTTCGCTCGAACGATGAGTAAATCAATAATTCGCCAAACTTAGAATTGAATATTTGAAAGAATTTTATCAAAAAAGCTACAGGGAAAAGAAAACTGCCAATAATATTTTTTTAAATGACGTATTGCATATTAGATAACAGCTGGGGATTAAAAATACATAAATATATGCGTACTGACATGCGTATGCAAAATATCGAATTTCAATGCTGTTGGATACGCAATTCGATGTTACTGGTACATGAAAGTAATCCATGTGTTTATTCGCGAGAGTTTGCAGTGGCGTTATATGTATATTTCCAAATCTATAGAATCGATCGAGTTCAGCGAAATTGCATATATCCATGTCGCAACCTTAACAAATACATACAGTAATATTAAGCTTTCGTCGATTGTTTGCAATTCATCCCATGAATGTTTGACGATGAACTTTCGATGCATATATTGAACTCATTTAGATCAGGAGATTCCGGACATACGAAGCCTTTATACGCGGAATAATATCCCGCCTGGGATATTATCAGATAGGCGTGTGGTTATGAGATACGCAGACACATAATTACCCTCTTGCGCTGTTCAACATGTACGCACACTAACGCGATAGCGAACATTGTTAATTATATACTCGCGTACGTTCGTATATACGTAGATATCAGGAAATATGCCAAACAAGTAACATGTATGTACGTACAAGCAGTATAGACATCTACCTACATACGCGTGCACGCAAATTTATCGAGTTGACAAATTGCATTTTTATAATGGATGGAGACATCATGAAAATATTTCGCATATATTTTATATACGCTATATAATAATTATCGTTGATAAAAAGCATCTCGTTAATTAGCGAAAAAAAAGTGTGCTCTTCTTTGTCATGAGAAAGAATAATAGATAATGCAATTATCAAGAATTAATTCACACACACAATATATACGTTTAAGCGTCATTAAGTGCGCGATTTATCATAAAGCCATAAAATATTGCATAAAACATTTGTTAACACACATATGGCTCTCTTCAAGAGTTACCCGTCGATAATATTGTCGTTTGTTTTGCAGGCGTTTCAAACTGGAAGCGGAAATTGCCTCCATGACATGGAAAGTGCATTGGGGTGACGTAATCGTGATACCTAACGCGAAGACAAGAGGCTCTATGTACTCCCTAATCGCGAATAAGTTTCGCGGTAGTGAACTGGTAAATATGACGGAAAATGCAATTTTTACATGATTTTTGTAGAATTTATGACATCGCCTTACTTGCGGTAACGACACAATTTAATTATCTGGGATTTCAAAAAGTAATTCGAGTGGATTAAGCAAATATTTGTCGCGATGAGTTATAGTGGTTAAAATAAACAACGTTGCAATTGCGATCGAATTTTCATCATAGCTTATCCCGATAGCGTTTCCAATAATTTTCATTCCTGAGAGGATGTGGTGTTCGTACCTCAGGTAGGATCTCTAAAGAAAGGAAAGAGGACAATGGTGGAAAGTATTACTTCGCGAGTAGTGCTTTACCCACTTCCAGAGCATCCGGAGTAGCAACCATAAAGAAGACTTTATTTCATTGTACGTTATTCTGTTGACGCGTTTCTTATCATTTTCCTACATAGCGTTAAGATACAGCAGCAAAAGAGAAAGCGTCCGTTTTTAAATTTATTGTTTGTATACTTTCTTATATACAACGAATAAGAGAAAGAACAGAAAGAAAATAAATTTCCCTTATAACTTTGGCTTTATTTAATTACAAAATGAATGTCGGAGTTTTTTATCTAGAGAGTCAGAATCTTTGACTAATTTTCATGTTTTAATTTAATTGAAATGTCAACAATATTTTTTTTCACATGTTAAACAATTATTAGTGAAAAACATTTTTCGAATAAAAGAAACATTATTATGTATTAAATAACGAGAATTTATTTTAATTAATTTTATTTATAAATTTGCGTTTAGTTTTAAAAATTCGATTACTGAGGCTTTTAGTATTTGAAGTTTATCAATACTCTGCCTTACGTAACTCTCTTCTAATCTATTAATATTTAAGAGATGATTTTTGTTCCAGACGATATATTCTGAAGATAATGCAAGTCTGCCAGATGGTGTTGATCGAAATGTATATGTTCCGACAGGATTTTATAAGGTTAGAATATGTTTGTTTTCATTTTATCTTTAAATCACAGTGCACATGATGTGTTATCAATTATGCAGAATATAATTAATTTATAATGACTTTGGTTGGACACATTAATGCAAAGTAGTGCATATTAAAACTATTATGGACTAATTTATGTAAAAGTAAAATGCAAATATACATACATATATATATATATATACATATATATATACACACATATATTTCAAATATAAGATACAAATTTTTTTAATATTGTGCTTAAGCACAATAAAATGTATTAAGAACTTAATGGTTTAATTCGTTTTCATATTTATATTAAACATACATTTATATTAAACATACATTTTTTTTACGTTAATTTGTGTACAATTTAATGTGCATCAGTAAGCTCTGAGTGCATCCAATCGAATTCGCTATTATATAGACATAAAAGAAATAAATCATGATGCATAAGCATCGCAAAAAAATTATTTTCCGATTTATTTCCAAGTTGTTTATCGAGGTGCAATTTCCAATATTAACAGGATTAACGCCAACGTATGTTATCTACAATCGGAATACGTATATATTCCATGCGTGTTGAACAGAGGCTTGTGTTGTTCACGTCTGCCAATCAATATTCACTTTTTTTTTAAATAAGGATATTGCTTCAAACTAGAATGTCAAACAATCACGCGACACATACGTTCGAATAGAAAAACGTAGCGTGAGAAATTAATTTCTCAATAATTTAGTTGCAAATATACGACTGCATTTCAAAAAAGTTTTTTTATGTATAAGATTTAAAATCTTTTTTTTGATAGCCTTATTTTTTACGAAATTTTTTTGATATTGAATAACAAGAATTCGATATTTATCTAATTTATATATTCGGTTTTACAATCTATATATTTAAACTGTATAGCCATATTACAACTGTTAAAGATAACAACTTGTAACAGCTATAAAGTAGAGATGTCAAGGAAGATTTTATGTGTCAAAATAAAAAGTGTTCTGCCTGATAAAAAATAATGGCTCATTTGATATGGAATGCTCGATATGTATATATATATATATATATATGTATGTATGTATATATAT